ATCGAAAATTGGCCCGTAATCTCAAGATGGCTCCCAATTGTACCTTATTTGTCACTTTGCTAACGCGACTCCAGGCCCCTCTAAACGGATGGTGAGGCCTTCTCTTCAGGCAACCCTGCAGGCCTGCCGAATAGAGATGCCTGAGTTAGGGTCACTTGAATGCGATGCCGTCAAGACGAACCAGACGTGAGCACAGTCAGCCTTGACAGTGAAACGGGGCAACGCCCGGGCCTGAGGGAGAATGAGCCAGACACTTCACATTCACGTTCTGCTGACCGTCTCAACTGGCCAGTAAGTGTTGAGCCTGATTCGACCAATCAGACTCAGGCATCCACCTGTCAGCCAATCATGTCGCTGCAATGGCTGAGTGGTCATCAGTCGGCCAATCACGAGGCGGCCTGGCTGGCTGGCAGTCGGAGGAGGCGCGATCAATGGAGCAAAGGGAGCGCTGTAGACACAAGCTCTAAAACCGCCCGATCCGCCTTCAATCAGTTCTGTGTCGCCCATATTCTGCAAGTCCTGGCAGAAAACCTCCGACGCCGGAGTCTGTGGTAGAAATATGGTTTTTCACTCGACGTCCGTGTGCGCAGGACCTGTTAAGTTGATGTAATGTCTAAATCCAGACTCACGGATTTGGATCAATGGATGAACAGACTAGAGGATCTACAGAGGGTAAGCAGTAGCTCATCCCTTTGGTAATGCGAATGCTCAATTTAACCTTGATTATGCCACCAGCAAATGGGGCAGTTCGCGAAAAGTCGTGGCGCATAAGAGCAAACAATGCGATAAACATAAGCGATAACCTATCCTGCCCTATACGAACTACACAAAGGACGGGAATAGCTTCTCACTACTCCCGAGTCTTCCACCCCTTTTCGGACGATACGAGAGATAACCGAAAACTAGGATTAAGGCTAGTTGAGAGTGGACAAGTGTTTGTAGGTGGTCGGCCGAAAAGGTTGATAACAAGGTCGCACAACTGGTTGAGAGATACTGGCTACTTTTGGTAGTCGCTGCCTAATTCATCGTCATTTAAGGCCAATTCCCAGTGTGCATTAGCAGACGTCTATCAAAATCATAATTGTTTCTGTTTAGCAACATAGCTTCCGTCTCGCCCAAACTCCCTAGTGGGTGTGGTTGTCGGGACAAGGTCATCTTGTGTTTGAAATCGCATTTGCTGTCTGTACATACGTAAACTGTACCTTTTGCTGCAACTTCTGGAGCTGTACCGCTGAGCAAAGGCAGCAGTATCGTTAGGACACCACTGTCCTCTATCACTGGCCTCATCTCTGATCTGCTTTCTGGCATCGGGGGCCACCTTGATGAGGCTGAGTATGTAAATACATCAAATTGGGCGAAATGCATGTAGATTTGTGCATGCGCAGTCGTGCGTGTGTGAATATATATGTATATATATATGTGTGTGTGTGTGTATGCGTGCATGTATGTGTACATTTTTCTGCCGAGATTTGCATGTTTGAGCACAGAGACAGACATATGAAAATCGACAAATAGCTGGATCCAAGATCATTTTCTCGGCAGATCTTTACTCGTCAAATTCTTTACAGTTATAACATTGTGCACCGTTTGTAAATGTCAGCTATCCTAATCTATCCCTCTGTATGGGAATACGTTAAACAGATGTGAAGTGGTCTTACTTCAACGCAAGAATGAGTTATTTCATATTTGCTGCATAGCTATGGCCCAATGCGGTTGTCAGAATTATGTTTTGTGGGCTAACCCTGATTGATGGCCTCCTGCCGCTATCGTTTCGGACTTGGGCATATTTTTTGCTTCTCTCACGACCTCAACGATGAAGCATTTTGCACAGCCAACTCGCTTCCGCACAGTCCGACAGTCCAAATATGACTCAAAGCATGATCGTTTGTGCAATGCGTTATCGCCAGCCGCACAGCGACGGGTAACGATGGATCATATGGCGGTCAATTGATCAATGTTCGAACATCCTTATGCTTTCCTAGTCTCCTCATCACTTTGGTGGATAGGATTGTACGTTTTGACTGTGGGCTTACTGCCGAATTCATCTCATTTAAATTATCGTCGTATTAGATAGCCTTAACTATATTACCTACCGACTCAGCCGATCTTTCTACTCTTCATCTGATTGTGCTTCTTGTTTCCTCTTACTAACCCGGTAATGACCGAGTTCCGAGTATCACTGTCACTTTTTGACCAACTTTACCGCTCTCAAACACCGGATCTGCTGTCCCCCTTGCTTTGACAAAATACCTACAAGTTGGGGAATAAGTAAAGTAAATATCAAGTATAATTATTAATAAATTAATTTAACTGGTTCGTTTCTGCTAATTACGACTGGAGGTCAAATTTCATTTAATTGCAATAATTGAGAAGAGTAGCGAAAGATCTAGAAAATTTTCCGCTATGGAGTTTATGCTTGCAATAAAAAAGATTTTTTCTTGATCGACTAGTACTTAATTCCCTTACCAAATATAAATCATTGTGACAACTTTCATTTCGAATGGAAGTACATGATGAAGAGACTCGTTGGTCAATCACACTAGAAGACGCCGGCTGATTCGAGTTGTATTACAGCCATTTGGTCTTAATAGAACGTCCAGGTAGCAGCAGTCCATGAGACATTTTCCAACTTTTCGGACGAAGAAGAGCTGAGCTTTCGTTCATCATGTGACGAACATCTTCAGAGCTGGTACTCATTTTTACGGAAGCCTTAAGTTACTATTAAGTCAAAAAGACTGACCGGCTTTTTTCTGTATGATATATATACTCATTGGAAAAAAATTTAGATAAAGATTGATACGGAATGGTTTGGTTAATTCATTTCTACTCGAGTGCGTCTGTGAATGTATGGCTGTTAACTTCTGTGCGCAAAAGCGGCCAAAACTCAGAGTAATTTTTA